ATCCCAGAGTCCTGAAGATTTGTGTACACTTTAGGCACAAGTCTAGCATTCAAATGTGACTTAGGCCGTTACCAGTGAATCTGTACTTTTGGAGAGTGTTGCTGGAGTGTACATTTAAAATCAACACAGAGGGGGGCTTCCCTCGTGGTGTAGTGGTTAAGAATCGGCCTGCCAACGCAAGGGACATGGGTTCAAGCCCTGGTCTGGGAAGATCCCACATGCTGCGGAGCAACTAAGCCCATGCGCCACAACTACTGGGCCTGTGTGCTGCAACTACTGAAGCCCGCATGCCTAGAGCTCGTGCTCAGCAACAAGGGAAGCCACCACAATGAGAAGTCCGTGCACCACAACGCAGAATAGCCCCTGCTCACTGCAACTAGAGAAAGCCTGCGCGCAGCAACGAAGACCCAACGCAGCCAAAAATAAATGAATAAAATAAATTTATTTAAAAAAGTCAACACAGAGGCAATGAACATGGCCATTTTTATTAGTTGACTGACTTACCCCGCAAACACTTCCTGAACACACACTATGTGTTGCTCTGCTAGGTTATAGTAATAAAATGGTAAGTAATACCCAGCCCCTGCCTTCAAAAATATTGCAGTCTAATGGGAGTGTCAGATGGGAGTGTCAGACCCAAACACTTATAAAACAATGTGGAAATATCGTGAAAGAGAGAGATATACAGCATCTTATGAATGATTGAGAGCTCTATTCCTAACAGTCATGTTTGGATTCTAAGGTGACCCTGATTAGCTAAATTAAGTCCACCCACGTCAGGAACCACACTGCTTGGTAGAATGTATATACTCATTCTCCCTTTGCCTGGTGAAGTCTATGGCTGTATTTAGAAGTACACTGTTTTAGCACATTGAGCCCTCATTTATAGCACTGATAGGGGAGATATGATAAATACAGAAGTTTTCAAAAATGAGCTACGGAATGTCCTTTTTTCTGATAAGTTCTAACCCAAAATTATCACTAAAGGAGAATTACTATGGCCTTGGAAGGGGTTTGGTCACTAGCCAGGATTCTTATGAATAACTGAGTGAAAATTACTTGCCCCATCAAAATATTTTGCCCTCCTTTTCTGCCCTATGTGGAAGGAATTGACAGTGTTTCTGATTGTTGTTGCTCCTGCTGGTGGTGATGACAGTGATGGGGAAGATGGAAAGATATTTCTGTTTTTATTTTCATCAACCCCAGAGGTATTCCTGAGAAGCCATAAGATAAGCAAATGTGGAGGTGTGGGTTGGTCTATGGTGGTTTCTGAGAATCCATTTTTTTGCCTTTCTAGTGCCTCCTTAGGACTTTTTTTTTTTAATTTAAGAGTTTTTCAACTGATCATTCCATGGAAACAGACAAGATTCCAAAATAAAAATACAAACATCGAAAAGTTACAGTGCTTATAGCCCTGCCATATAAAGGCTTTTGCCTTATATTCCTCTAATTCCTTCACAGTAATAAATGAAGGACTCTGGCCTCTCTTAATACTGTGGGTGGAGCTTCCCTCTGACCTCATTTTAGTGAGAGATTCTTTTCTCCATGAAGGTCTCTGTTTCCATCCTGAAAATGCCATCTGTGCAGAAGGATAGTGGTCCTTTGTCTCAAATGGGCACTCTGTAGTTCTAAAGACCTTGGAGTGTGTGACATTTGGTTCACCAAAGACCTCTTAGCCTGTACCAGGTATGAGCTCTTCTGTTTTTGTTTTTCTGTGCTGCATCAGAGAGGAAAACCAGAGAAGCCATAGAAGATCCTGAGTGTGTCCCACAGTTCTAGCTAGTAGGCCTGGAATAAACTCCAGAACTGGGGATGTTTATCCTGGGCAGAAAATGGTATATTAGCAGTTTAGCTCAACTAAGATAGGATTCTCACTGCGCCTCTCAACTCATGGACGTGTTTCTATATTTTTACAAAATTTTGTTTAAAATAAGAGCCCATGGCACAGACCATAGCAGAATACTGATGGTGTGGTCAAGCTAGGGTAACGTAAGTGGTTAATGAAGCATCCCAAGCTAAGAAAGCCAGATAAACTAAAGGAATTTGACCAAAGAAAGAACTCAAGGCAACACGAAGAGTGAGAGGTACTGAGCATCATTTGAGGGGAAAAGGCAGAGCCCTGTGTGGCGTTCAGAAGGGGAACGGGGTGTGAGTCATCTTCGAGGTGAGGTTGCTGATGAAGCAAAGAGGGGTGAGTGAATAGAGCACAGAACTTCAGAGGAAAAACAATCAGGAAGCACAGAGATCTGTTGCGTATTGTAGTTTTAATATCACATCCTTAAGTCTAAATTATTTGCCTAGGAGTTGATAGCTGGAATGATTCCTCAGGTTGACTATAAACACTATGAAGTGTAAGTTTTACCGAGAAAAGAGTGTGGAACAATGTCATTATTCTTTCCACAGCTCCAGAAAAAAAACTGTGTCCCCAGGCACAATTCTATCCCTGAATTGGCAACACAAGTGAAATGGATCATTTTCTGTAGGGTAACATGTCCCTGAGTTCTCTGATTTGTTTTTTGAAACTTCAGTAGCCTGGGTTCAGACATAGGGCTTTGCTTTGGAAGTAAAGTAGAACACAAGGACCTTCACACAGCTTTCCAGCTCTGGGGCACGCTCCGTCGCAGTAGCTGCCACTCCTGAGATTTTAGTTCTGCGGGCAGCCAGCCTCCAAATGGGGCAGATGGTAGGAAGAGGGGACTGGCTTCTGGAAACAGGTGGCAGGAAAGGAGGCCATTAAGGAAACGGTAGCTTTTCTACAAGGATTCCCAAAGTCTGGTGAACGAGTACAGTGAAGTTGAATGCCTTTCTTTCTGTACTGTGATGGATTGAATTATGTTCCCCCAAAATTCTTGTTGAAATCCTAACCTCCAGTACCTGAGAATGAAACCTTATTTAGAAATAGGGTCATGGCAGATGTAATTAGTTAAGATGAGATCATAATGGCATAGGGTGGGCCGCTAATCCAACACGGCTGGCATCCTTATAAAAAGGGAAAGTTTGGCACAGACACACACAGGGAGAGCGCCATGTGAAGAGGAAGGCAGAGATTGGGATGATGCTTCTACAACCAAGGAACGCCAAAGATTACCAGGAAACCACCATAAGCTGGGGAGACGCATGGTACAGTTTTCATCTCACAGCCCTAAGAAGGAACCAATCTGCTGACACCTTGACCTCAGACTTCTAGCCTTCAGGACTGTGAGACAATATATTTTTGCTGTTTAAGCCGTTCAGTTTTGGGTACTAGAAAGTGAATATATGTATTATTGTTTCTTGTCTGTCTCTTCCAATTCACCCTGCATTCAGTGAGGTCAAGGACTATGTCCTGATCATCTCCAAAACCTCATCCCATAAAATGGTGTCTAGCAGCACAATTAGGGGGGCTGAAAATATTTATTGAATAAATAAGTAAATATGCTGTTTTCTACCAGTAGACACTTGGATATCTCTCAATTAGGAAAGCATTTATTCTGTCCTCCCAATTCTCAAACTTCTTCCAGTTTAGTGATTTTTGACCCTGGCTTAGGTTCAGGGTGGCTTCCTTTGATTGCTGCTTCTTCTCCCCAGATCCTACCACTGCCCTTCATTCAGGCATTTCTGTATTTAAAAAGTTAAATATAACAATTTTCATAGTATCTGCAGAGAAGTGAAAATTTTATACCACTGTTCTAGGAAAGCCTTCATTTACAATAAAATTTGTATAGGTTGTATCAAACATAACAATTTTCATAGTATCTACAGGCAAGTGAAAACTTTATATCACTTCTAGGAGTGCCTTCCTTTACAATAAAATTTGTACATTCAGTTAAGCTTTTTTCTTGAGGGGGGGAAAAAAGCAATTTTTTATTGATGAACAAATAAAGTCAAAGATTCATTTCAGGGGCTTCCCTGGTGGCGCAGTTATTAAGACTCCACCTGCCAATGCAGGGGACACGGGTTTACGCCCTGGTCTGGGAAGATCCCACATGCCACGGAGCAACTAAGCCCGTGCACCACAACTACTGAGCCTGCGCGCCTAGAGCCCATGCTCCGCAACAAGAGAAGCCACAGCAATGAGAAGCCTGTGCACCACCACGAAAAGTAGCCCCTGCTCTCCGCAACTAGATAAAGCCTGCACGCAGCAACAAAGACCCAACACAGCCAAAAATAAATAAATAAAAATTTTTAAAAGATTCATTTCAATATAAAGATGCCTACACATTGTAGAGATGTGTCATGAGTAAATAACCTACGTGGACAATTTATTTAAATGGAGCAAAGTGATAACTTACCTATAACATTGCCATCGACGCAAATATCTATCATCTAGATTGTGGGAACTAACTATACAAAATTCTAGTGATACTGTGAGTGAACTGAGATATTTTCAAATTAGAAGTGAAAATGTGGGGCCTTAAATGTAAACTGGAAAACTTCCTCCCCTCCAAGTGCAAGCAACGAAAACATGCCAATTGGCTGTATGTGGAAACCCCATCATTTGTTTACTTACCATTTAGCCTTTGTTCCAAGTGGCTGAAAAGCAGAGGGGAAAGAGCCTTAGTGAAGACTCTGAAGGGGACAAGACGATTCAGAAGGACACAAGGAAGGGGAGAAGAATTCTGAATCAGAGGTGGAAGGGATATCTTCTGTAGTACTCGTTCCTGGAACCCCTGAGTTACAAGTCTTTTCTCAAAACTTGGAAATCACTAAAGTATCCTTACACCGTGATAACTTGGAAACACTTCTAACAACATCTTTCATGTGTTTTGGTTCCTGTGGTTCTTTGTGTTTGGTTGGTTCTGTTTCTTCTAAAAGAGGGAAACGAAGAACAAACACTTTCATTAAATTCATGGTCTGGTTAAACAGATGATGGGCAGCATGGTTTTACAGAAAACTTCCCTCGGAAAATTTATGTGCTTGAATTATTGTTGTTTTAACTGGAGTTACATGTTTTGCATAAATGTTTCGACTTGTCAGAATGGCTGCACAAAAGCTTTCATGCTGAATTACATCTCTCAATTGACAGTTAAGTAGAAAGTATTTTCAGAGTACAGGGAAGATCATATCCTATGTGGTCAGAGGTGACTCCATGGCAGCTTTCTCCTACTGTGTTTACTGTGTGAGATTATTGTAAAATGAGCTGTAGGCTCGAGAGTCGAACCTAGTTTAGGAACCTTCCAGATTTACTCTACTGAAAATGGAAGGTAAGAGTTTTCTGTGAGATTTCCTACCTGCTACATAACATTTAAGAAAAATTTACTCAATTTAAGACAATATCTCGAGAAACCTAAAACCAAGTGAAAAGGCTTGAAAGGGAAGACATCTTCTGACCCTGATGGTCATTCGTGGTGTCTACATGATAGCGCAACAAGCGAAATAGAACTCCTTGCTTTTCCTTTTCCCTGATCTAACCTCTATTTCTAGGAATACAAAACAAAAGGGCAGTTTGCAGCTCAGGGAATTCTTACTTAACTTCAGCTGGATGGGACCCAGAACCTGGCTCTGGTGTATAAAATTACACTTTTAACTGTACGTGAGGATATTAACACTTGCCTTTGCCAGTTTCAGACAGACACATACATGTGGTATACACGCAGGTATTTAACTTTCTGAGATATTTACTGTTAGAAATGCCTTTTAAACCCCTGGACTATTAGGTGTATTAGTGTGGAATGCCATGATTCCATACACTTGACCATACCTCCTTACTGTATCCCATTTATTTATAAATTTATTCACTCAGTCACTCGTTTATTTTATTTTGTTTATTTATTTATTTATTTTCTAAGCACAACAGATATACTGAGAAGTGCGCAGATCTTACATGAGTAGCTCAAAAAAATGTTTACAAAGGGAACATATCTGTGTAACCACCACCCAGATCAAGATATCAAACACCAGCACCCCGGAAGCCACCCTTGGCCCCTCCCTGTCATCACCCCCTCAAAGGTAACCACTCTTATGGCCTCTATCACTATAGACTAGTGCTGCCTGTTCTTGGTTTCTATAAAAATGGAATCATGCATTTGTGCCGGGTTTTTTGGTCCAGCTTCTTTTGCTCAGTATTGTGTCTGTGTGGTTCATCCATGTGTTTGCACGTAGCAGTGATTTCTCCTTTTTCATTGCCGTGTAGGATTCTACTTTGTGTATTTTAAAATTTACTTTCCTTTCTATTGCTGATGCACTTTTGGGTTAGTTTCAGTTTTAAGCTATTAAGAGTAATGCATCTATGAACATGCTGGTGTACGTGTTTGTTGCACGTGTATGTCTGCCTAGGAGTAGAATTGCTAGGTTAATATAGACTACACCTATGTTTAGTTTAGTAGATACTGCCAAATGGTTTTCCAGAGTGGCTTTAAAATTTTACATTCCTGCCAGCAATGTTTAAAAGTTCCAGTTATTGTATATCTTCACCAACAATTTATGGTGCCAATTTTTAAAAATTTATTTTATTTTATTATTTTAATTTAGCTATCTGGGGGTTATATATTAATACTTCATTGTGTTTTAATTTATATTTCTCTAATCACTAACAATGTTAAAAATTTTTATTTGCTTATTGGCCATTTGAATAGCCTTTTATGCAGTGCCTGTTAAAGTCCTTTGCCATTTAAAAGAATTTAGATAGTCTTTCTTTTCTGATTTGTAGGAGGCTTTTAAAATACATATATTAATATATATACATATATATTAATATATGGATAGATGTATATATGTATATGTATGTATATTAATATATACATATATATAGTAGTCCTATTTGAGAAGTATATATATATATATTACAAATATATTTTCTTTTAAGATATCTTGTCTTCACTCTTCATGGTGCCTTTAGATCAATTGAAGTTCTTACTTTCAATGAAGCTCAATTTATTAATCTGTTCCATTACTGTACACGCTTTCTTTTGCCCTTTTAAGAAATGGTTATATAACCCAAGATCATGAAGATATTCCCCTGTGCTATATTTCCAGAAGTTTTGTCATTTCACCTTTCACATTTATCACCCATCTGGTAGTGATTTTTGTGTCTGGTGGGAAGTAGGAGTCAAAGATCATTTTCTCTCATATGAATATCTGTTCTTTTGCCCAAAGAATGGCAGTGGCAGCTTTGTTATAGATCAGGTGACTGTTCATGTGTCTGTCTGTGTCTGGATTCTCGTCTGTTCCATTGGTCTATCTATTCTTGCACCAATGCCCCACACTTATAATTACAGTAACTATAAATTAAATCTTGATAGCTGGTAGTGGAAGTTTTCCAACTTTACTCTTCAAGGTTGTTTTTATCCCTCTTGACCTTTTGCATTTCCATTTAATTTTAGAATCAGCTTGCCATTTTTGTGTGTGTGTGTGTGGTACACGGGCCTCTCACTGTTGTGGCCTCTCCCGTTGCGGAGCACAGGCTCCGGACGCGCAGGCTCAGCGGCCATGGCTTACAGGCCCAGCCGCTCCGCGGCATGTGGGATCTTCCCGGACCGGGGCACGAACCCGTGTCCCCTGCATCGGCAGGCGGACTCACAACCACTGCGCCACAAGGGAAGCCCAGCTTGCCATTTTTTACACACAAAAATTAGGTTATTTGAAATAACATTGAATGTTATCCATTTAGGGAGAATTCACATTTTGCATTGTTGTACCTTCCAGGAACATAGTATATTCCTCCATTTCTTTAGGGCTCCTTTAACCTTATCTTAGTAAAGTTTTGTGGTTTTCTATGTGGTGGTCTCACACACCTTTTATTAGCTTTATTCCTAGTTATGTGCCCTCCTTTTGGCTAGAGAGCTGCTTCTACTTTGTATAGAAGCAAAATCTTCCTTTAGACTCACAAACTTAAGCAAAATATTATGGAGAAACTATTTTGAAGCTGAAGAGAGGAAGTGCCCTTGTGCCTCGAGGAGGAGGTGGGGGATTTTTTGGTTGGTGGTTTAAGGTAGGTGAGATGCAGTATGTCTTGTCCAGATGGAATCTCTGGAAATCTTAAAAGCAGCAGATGGGTGTGGGAAGAATGACAGAGAATATTGAGAAGCAGACTGACTTACTGTCTTGGGTAATTGCATAGTTGAATGAAGAAACCAATGTGTATTTTAAGTATCTGAACCAAATTCATTGACTTGAAGCAAAGACCCATTCTAAACAAATAAATTATATCCCGGACCTACCTTTCTACATCTTTGACTTACTTCACCAATCGCCAGAGATTAAAAATTTTATAATTAATGATCAAAATATTATCCAGGTGACTAAGTGATAAACTTGTTGGATTTACCATCAAGTGGATTTCCCATTAAATAAAAAAAATCTTCAAAATTTAATAAATCTTGCATGAGCCAGTGAGAGCATACTGCTTCAGAGTTTCAGAAGTCTCTTGGAATTCCCTCTAATTACTCTTCTGTTTTTCTTCCCTTCCCCAGACATGCTTTGGGAAAGAATATTTCTTATTCACTGACTTCAGTGTCTCAGCTCCAAATGACTTCTCACACTGGCTCCTGACGTCTGCTGAAGTTGCTCTTCTCATCAAGACAAAGCCTCCTCATTGTCAGGTTCAGTGGAAACATTTGTACTCCTTCAGCTTCTTTTCAGTATTTGAGGTTATTGAAATACTCCTGCTCCATGGAACTCTTCTGTCATGGCTTCCTTGACGTTCACCATCCTCTCCTGGTCTTTCTCTTCCCTCTCTGACACTCTTCATCAGGCCATTTTCCAGGCTCTCTTTGTCCTGCAAATGTTGGGATTACACACGGCCAGCTTCAGACTCAGTTTTCTCATTGTGAACTCCCATTCTAGTGGAACTCATTCATCTCTGTGGTTTCATCGATCAATCAGCATTCTGATATTTTCAAAGGCTGTCTTGAAATAGCCTATGCCACAAACACCTCTGTCCAGCTGCTGCTCGTTGGATTTCTCCATTTAGTGCCCCAATGACACCTTAAAATTAATGTCAAAAATGGATGCTTTGTAACATGCTCTGCATTTTGGTGAGTGGCACCCTTTACAGTGGGCCTGAAACTGGGAGGTGGTTATTGATGACTCTTTCTCCTTTCTCCTCCCATGTCCAGCGACATCATCCTGGCTAGTCTTCCTCCTTAATATCCTCAACATTCTGCAGTCTCGGTCTTCTTCTCCGTATCCACTACTATTTTCCTGTTCCCACATCCCCTCACACCTAGCCTTCCTAAACAGCCCCTGATTGGCTCCTCTGCCTTCAGTATTCTCACACTCCAAGCTGTTATCTGCTCTCAGGGTGAGCTCTCCGAAATGTGCTGCTCCCCTGTTTAAAACCGTACAGGGCTTCTACTTCTCCTTTGACGTAAAGGCTGAACTCCTCAGCATGGATTTCTAAACCTGGTCCTACTGGAGCCCCTCTCTGCTTCTCTTGTCTCCTCTCTTGATGTTAGTTCTCCAGAACCGCTCGTGGTCCCTTCCGTCACTCTGCTCGCCCTTCAGAAATGCTGCTGCTTCTGCCCAGAACAGGCACAGCCCTCTCCTCATCCGTCACCCTCCTTCTGGCCTCCTACTCATTCTCCAGAACTCAACGCAGATGGGACACTCTAGTGAGACTTCATCTCATCCTTCCCCACCAGTCTCGACTCCAATGTTATATTGCATTGTGTTTATCTGTTTTGATCCCCCCCACTCTGAACTTCTTGAAGGCAAGGAACATGCCTTTCATGTTTGTGTTCTCCCTCCACAGTTGCTTTTATAAATAGGCGCTGTGTTAGGCCCTGGGGATGCAAAGATGAATAAGACATCATCTTTGCTCATGGGCTCTCACAATATAGAAGGTGAAACAGAAACATCAACAGGTAATTACTGTGTGATTTGATGAGTACCGTGTTACAGGTGTTTTTAAAACAGGGAAGAAGCGGCACCTGATTCCAGGTCTAAGAGAGTTCTATTAAAGTGTACGCAAGGGATCTCTAGAGAAATAATGTGTGGGGAAATAATCCGCTGAGTAAAGATCATCTCCAGGAAAATTCCTGGCAACCCTATAACACTGTAGTCGGTGTTACCAGTTGCTCTCCTGAGATTGTCGCTCAGATCTCCAGAGGCAGAGAACTGTATAGGAGTTAAAATATTTACAGTTGATACCAGAACATGTAAATAAACATTATGAGGTTTGGATGGAGAGATATATGCATTAAACTCTATTTTGACTAGAGAGATATATATGCATTAAGCTTAGTGGAGACTTGAGAGAATTAGCATCTTATTTTGTGTGCCCAGGAGCTCTCTGACCAAAACCCAACCCTACCTGAGACAAAAGTTCACCCTGACTTTGTAAATGTTTGCCTTTACGATGAATGAGAAGAACCTAAAGCCTTGAAATGTTCAGTCTAGTTCTTTTTTCAGATATAATGTTAAATCCCAGAAAACAATCCAGCAAAGCAGTATCTTCACATTTTGGTTTCCCTCTATCCATATCCAAGGAGAGGACACTTCATGGTTGAGAGTGATTCCATAGTTCTACTGGGCCTGGAGGGTGGCCAGAGCCTTGTGCAGTTTAGGATGAACTGACACTATAGCGGTCAGAGAAGGAAGCTGAATTCATCTGGACCGAGATAATCTAGTCTGTATACAGGATTGTCTGTGGTAGGGCCTTGTTCTGATGCCTGTATACTGGAGGGACCATGACTGAACTTCAGGAGGTTTGGAGAGTTCCTGAAATTCCACACAAAATTGAGTATGTGTGCATAGGGGAAGAAAGGCCATAGCTTTCATCATATATTTGAAGTTCTTGTAACTCAGAGAACCGCTGGTCTACACCCTTTGGTTTCTGTTTACTATATTTATTCATCTGATAATCATGTAGTGAAGATCTAGGTCCCAGGCATTTTGCTCCATTCTGACTTACTATTTTGATGTGTGTTACAGCAATTCAAGTCAGCAGTCATTGAGAGCCTAGGTTGCAGGCGCTTCCAAGTGCAAGATCTCATTAAATATTCACAGTAAATCTGTGTGTTATATATTCTTATGACCATTTTACAGAAGAGGAAACTGAAGTTCAGAGTGTAAAAAGAACTTTGCTAAGAGCAGCTGAGTACTCAAGCAGGTGAACTGGACCTAAGAATCTAAAGATGAATAGGACATATGCTCCTCTTCAGGAAAAGCTCGGTCTTCTAGGGCAGCCAGACAGAAATGAACACCTAAATACAGTGACGTAACTTCAAGGACAGACCAATATACAATATAAAATCTCAGCACCAAGGTGTATGTCATCTCTCCAGCTGTGCTTTGTCAAGGAGAGAGGAGCGGGTCTTGAAGGATGAGTAATAGTAGACTAGGTGGACTGAAATTAAAATGCATACCAGGTTGATGTAAAAGCATTTACAAAACATAGATGTGAGCTAGTCTTCTGCATGTGTGAAAATGATAGTGGTTTGGGATGGTGAGCACATAAATAAATGTCTGAGCTTTGAAAGAGGTAAGTCGGAGAACCAGATTCTGCCCTGTGTATATCCACGTACATTAACAAATCTACTGTTCCTTTCCAGAAAGTAGCCCAGGCTATACAGGTAGCCACAATTTAAAATGCCTTTTTAAGATTTTTTTTCCCCAAGGCTAATTCAGTAGGTGTGTCCCTCGCACTAATAAGTACTGGGACGACTTGTCGATTCTGTGAGTTCTCTTAGGACAGAGACGCACTGTAAACATCTTCTTAACTTGATCTGAATACAAACCAAATCCCAATCTAACAACTCACCCAGACACACAGGTAATTGTTTCATCTACTTCATAGCCCTGAATAGCAGGAAAGTTCATAGAAAGTACACCTTCAAGCCGAGCTATCAAAACATATCTGTTTTCAAAACTCTTCTAGGGATAGTCAGTTTAATGCTTGTTTTTTTCTCCTGAAAAACAGTATAACTAGTTTCAAACAATGCTAGGTAATTCCTAAGGGGAAGTACTGTGAGAACCTTTGACATAATTAGTTTATGCTTTAGCTTGCTGTTTTCATTACAAGTTTTCAACAAGTTCTCAGAAATATGAATGGAAAAACTTCTCTGATTCCACTTTAAAATATGTGGGAAAGAAAATGCACAAAGGTGAAAGTGATGGCAGGGAAAGAAAGAGAATACAAGCAAATATGAGGCCAGCACTATTTTTATTACCGATTAGACATAGTGAGTTATAATTTGAATAAAATGTTCAGCTTGTAAGTGTGTATTTTTCCACTTGAAAAGGTCAGTTAAACTGTGATAAGATTTACAATGGATGTCAGCTTACTGGTAGTCCATCACTAGAACATAGCATCGTGGCATACTATATACCCTTATAGTATCATGTCCATCGATTGCTTCAAGTATCCTGACTAAAACCTGTATTTTTAGGTCTCTGTTTCTTTGTATGTTTTACAAAAACTTGAGATCATGCTCTATATCGGATATCTTTCTGGGCCTGTATTCCCTCATCTGTAATATCGAGATTATTGGAGTCCCTGGCTCCTGGAGTTATTGTGAGGATCAAATGAGATGGTTAGTAGAGAGCTTAGCTCAGTGCCTGGCACACAGTCAGCATTCAGTTATACTAGTCGTTGCTGTTGCGGTTATGGTTACTTTGTGTGTGATGAGAACTTTTGAGATCCTTCTCTTAGCAACTTTCAAATAAGCAATACAATATCATTAACTATAGTCATCTGTGGTTACTTTTTGTTACTTGTTTTTCACACTTGATTATATGAGTATTTTCACAAGTTGTTAACTATTGTTCAAAGACATAATGTTTCAAGGATATATAAACATCCCACCATTCCTTCAAGTTTTAAATACGTCATTTTGGTCAGTTTAACAATTTCCAGATTGTTAATAGTATAAACTCCAGTGAAATAAACATTCTTGTCTGTAAGTTTTTGTGACCCAGTAAGATGCATTTATAAAAATATTTTAAAGACTTTTGATTCATCTGTTCAAATTACATCCCTGAAAGATTGTACTCGTTTAGAACTCCCCATTTCTATTACAGTGTTGAAATAAGAATTAAGTCAATGTAAAAGAATGTGGAGAAATGTAACAGAAAGCTGTAAGTTTCAGAACCAGAATATTTGCTTTCTTTTATACCTTGGGAGGCAAGGCAAATATAATGCCTATTATCTTTCATATTTAAAAGAAGCTTTTGTGTGAGGGCATAAAACATTGTGTAGAAGTCAAGAGGGCTAATTCCAAGACTGACTGATAGCAGAATGTACACAAGCTTGAGGAATTCACTCTACCTCTCATAGTTATATAGTTATAGTTTGTAAAATGGTGATACAATACCTATCTTAAAGGACTCTTGTGGTAGTCAAATAAGATTGTTAAGCGCCAGGCAAAGGTCTTGGCACAAAGTAAGCACCTGTGGTTGACCACACTGTTATTGACCAAGGATATAATTTTTGCTGAAGAGCCAGGCTTCGGCCTTCCTCATTTATTGCAACTGTAGATTCGTAAAGTAGCAGGGTTCCCATCAGGTGTCCTGGCTGCCCCATGAATGAGCAAGGGGCAGAATGCCATGACACCTGTCAGATGTACTGTCAACATTTTCGATGTTCCTGGTTAGGGTTAGC